TACATCAATGGTTTGCTTACTTTAACCATAGCAATGTGCTCAATCCCATCAAGCAATGACTTATAACAGTAGGCCTCAAATGGCCCCCACATTGTGGGTATCCGTGCAACTCCAGCCCGCTCCACCAACTTGTCCCTTTTCCTCCTATATCTGAAAGTTTTAATTGATAACCAATATCAAAATTCGAATTTCTTCCACTAATTCAAAGAGCAGGGCAAGAATCAACATTTAGTAATTACTTGTTTTAACAAAGTATACCAAGAAGTAACAATAAGATTTATTCATTACTTCACAAAATGTTAATTCTGTTAAGAAAAATGAGTGGCAGATTTATTGGCCGCTGTGGACAGTTCTGAACTGATTTAGAGCGATATAAGCTATAATTATTTAAAGCACATTTAAGATGTCAAATAAACATTTTTCACTCACACACATGCTAGCTAGTGGATTTCAGATTATCCACTAGTGTTTCAGTATGTAATAACATTCATCCATTAATGAAACAGTTGTGTAAGGTACCAACTGTTTAACCTTGTCAAGTACCAAGGATTTATTAGGTAACTACAGCTAGTACACTTTGGACTCCTACTGGAAAGACATAACCATCCACAGTACCTGATCAAATCAGCAATGGAAATAATTTTCAAGTTTTCTGCCTGTGCAAATTGACGAAGCTTTGGTAATCTAGCCATAGAACCGTCATCATCCACAATTTCACATAAAACTGCTACCGGATCTTGCCCAGCCAACATAGCAAGATCAACTGAAGCTTCAGTGTGACCAGCTCTTTTTAGAACTCCTCCCTCCCTGTACTTAAGGGGAAAGATATGTCCTGGGCGGTTGAAATCTTCAGGTTTTGAATTCCTTGATGCAAGAGCCAAGACTGTCACAGCTCTATCGCGAGCAGAAACACCAGTTGTTGTACCACGTTTTGCATCCTATAGAGTCCAATACAATTGAAGTCACCCACATAAGAGTTACAACAAGTCATAAAATGGGTCGATTTAGAAAGAAACACATTAAACATTCTAAAATTATTACATTCATATGTTTATCTTCACTATCAATCCCCAAGATACAGACAAAAATATTGAGTCAAAATACTTGCGTCAAAATCTGGATTCCGGCCACATATCTACAATATCCTTTTCACTCTTTCCCTAGCCTTTGAGAGAGATCCAACAAACTTGGATGCAGTTACAAAGCATGACTCGACCAAAATGTAAAAAGACATGGAACAAGAGGCCTGTGATCATTGATAAGGTC